AAAAGATTCCTTAGGCCAGTTCAGTTCTAACTATATATGTCATTTACTTCCGTTGGTTATCATGTATATTCAATTAGAGCCATAGCAAATTTAGGGGCTAGTTAACAAAATCTATTCATATATCTATATAAACACTACATATGTATTGGTTCCTTGGAGTATTTAGAGATTTAGTAGAAGCTCCAGGGTGCCACTTAAGCATACTCAATAGAAAATGTGTGTATCTCATTGGTTCATAGCTTAGTTAGTTAAAAATGAATAGCATTTATGACTGTATAGTTAAGTTGCCCAAGTTTCTAAACGCTTGCCCAGTGAATACTGATGAATTAATGCTCAGCAGATTTTCGCTACATACACTGTAGTACATAATTAAATTTTATAGCTTCCTACACGTCTTTAATCTAAACATATTTTAAATATGTTACGATACGAATCAAATCTATCCTTGGTCTATAACCATAAAGAAAAAACAAGTTCTTAAAAGACACTGCTCTACGCAATTTGAACTCTCATTTTCTTGCATTTCTTTAATCTATAGATCACTTATATGAATTTTAATATTGAGATTCTGTTTGGTCGAAGAACCATAAAAGAAAAAAAAGTTGTTAAAAGAGTTTCAGTATATATTAACATTGTGCAACTCACGTTTCTTTAATTGATAGATCAGTATTGTTTGATCGAAGAACTCTAAATAGGAAAATATTGTGATATAGATGTAAAATGTACTATATATTTCAAATTCCTCATTTTGGCATATTACATCAATCTAAAGATCAATCATATCTATTGATCATATCTACAGATTTGTCTCAAAGTTGAATTTAATTGGAAGATCCCTTCAAAACCGCAAATAACTTGTGGGATTTAGGTAGTTTCATATGGATTCCTGAAGTAAAATTTCTCTATTATTATCTCTATTCAAATCACAAATCAAATTCTTCATCTTTTAAAGCATTTTTCAGTAAGAATTTATAGATACTTAATTGATAAACATTTCATTTACCGACTGGGTATTTACAAAGAATTGCTAATTTGCGTTCCTCAGCTGAGCTAATGATGTTGTATATAAATATATACATATAGTATATGGTTTTATAGTTTATTATAGTTCAATGTTAGAGTCTTAGCTAATCATTTTCATAAACTGGCATATGCAGTTGGTAATTCATTTTCTTACAATCAGATTCGTAAGGGTTTACCATAAAAGTGGAAATTACACAGGCTAACAAGCTTAAGTTAGCCGAAATAGTTTTTTGTTCTGCTTAATCTGATTCTTAAACCGTTTAGGTTACAGGTATTGTAATATGTACATAAAATAACATTGTTGCCATCTGAAAATACTAATTACATTTCAAAAAGCTGAAAAGTTGTTATTCTATGATTTTATGATAACTGGTTCTAAAACAGTTACAATGATTAAATCTCTTAAAAATAAAACTAATTTCAAATGTATTGGAAACTCATAAAATAGTTCTACTCTGTCTACTCATTTAAACGTAGTTCTATTGTCGGTTACTTAATTTTGTTGGCCTGTGTTAGGATATACGACATTAATAAAATATCTTAATAATAATAATAATGATAATAATAATTTAACAAATATTTGCTCAAAATATAGCTATATAATGAACGGAATGATATATGAACAATGTACGTCTTACAGTATATATGTATATACATATAGCAGATCAGGTTGATAACATTAATATTGGAAATAGTAATATTTACAATATTAACAAAATAAATTTAAATATAAACTCTGTGCGTAAAGCTCTCAATTTTTGATGTAGACTACTTGAAATTTGTCTCTCGTTAGAGGAGACGCAAATGTACGAGCTCAAAGAGAGAGTTTAAAGAGATCTATCGAGTAGCACACGAATACTTAATACAATTTAGCATATGAGAAAACGTGTCTAATTAAAGATTTATTTGTAAGTTTTTCCATATTCTCTTTACTCTAAAAAAAGTGGGTACTATATAAAAAGTATATATACATTTTAGATATAGGATTCACATACATAGATGTGAGCAAAAATATTTTATTTTTTCTTTTTACATTATTATTTATAGAACTTATATTACAAGAACTTTTGGTTTTACGAAGCTGAGAAAATAATTACATAGTCTATAAAACTTCTATATAAAAATATCTGTTTATATATCGAAAGTCAGTTTAAGTCACGCTATAGATATTATTTGAATTTTTGTTATTAAAAAATTAATCTATGAATATTTAGTTATAAACTTACCTAGAAGAGCCTATTGGAACTACTGGACAAAAATCAAAGTTCATTAATATATT